TTTATCACCAGATCCGTCATTGAGAGCAAGGTAATAAGTTCCAGCGGGAACATTGACAGTCCATGGGAAAGATTGGGCAGAAAGGTTTATAGTACTGCTAATTACAACGGTGTTCTTAGTCATGTTGTCGATAACACTTAGAGTACCAGGAAGCGCATTCGGTTGTGCGGTGTATTGCCAAGTGATTGTGATAGTGGCACCATTTGCAACACTACCGGCTGGTGTGTTAATTGTTGTTACCTCTGAAAATGTAGGTGCAAAGTTAATTATTTAATTTGTTTAATTCGAATTAATTATCGTCTTTTATTCTTTTTGGATGTTTTTTTTTTTTATTTTTGATTTTTTATTTTTGCTTATGATCATCTATAAATAGTCAGAATTATCCAATTCATGAAATTTTATATTCAAAATAAACTAGATAAACCAAATTACATCACTCTTTTACTTGTAATAATAATTATATAACCTTTTTATAAAACTCGCTTAAAATAACATCAAAGAGAAAAATCAATAACTTACGGGCTAAAGCAGACCCAATAAGGGCCAAGAATAGAGTGAGGAAATAAATGAGTCGTGACATTGTTACTTATGTCCAGGTTAGATAGTTGTTCGCCTTAGGTATTTTTGTTCCTGTGGCAAGTGATTAAGAGAAACGAACCAAAGTGAAAGACATTTTCTTTTATAGTTCTAGGTATGGAGTGATCTGAATAATAAAACAATTACGTTTGTTGTACGGCAATATAAATATAAACATAAACATAAATAAATAATATAAATATAATAAAGGATGCAACATAACTTAAAGAAATCGAATTCAGACCCGATGTAGCATGGACAATATTTTGTCCATGTGCGGCAATGGAATAAACTTAGAGTCCCAAAGTAAGTAACGTTACAATCCTTTATCACAAAGGCTAACAAGTAAAATTATAGGTATTTTATGACTTTATTACCATAAAAAGTAATTATTTGTTGTGCGTCAAATTAATATCTGCGTCAGATTTAAATGCCGTAAATAGCCATATAAACAACCTGGGTAGTATAAACAACCTGGGTAGTATAAACAACCTGGGTAGGTTACATTCCACCGGTTAAAACATTTTGAATTATTATTATTACCCGGGCAATGTTGTACGTTTTCACTGTTCAAAGGCTTTTTTTGGCCATGTTCAAAATTTAAAAATTGGTTCAAAAAATATATGATTATCGTTATATATATTTTTTAAGTGCTAAACATTTTTGTTTAGGAAATTAATATTTTTTTAATCATTACGTAACCATTTTTGTTCAAAAAGTTAAGGAGTAATTTTAATGTCCAAAAATGTCCAAAAATGTCCAAACTCATGTTCACAACTGTCTCGTGACAATACTGCCCAGGGGTATATTGTTTTGAGAAATAGTAACGGTAATAGGTGGGTTTCTTGTTAGATATAAATTCTTAACCCTAGTTTAGACCCGAATATAATAAGGTCAACTGTCAAGGAAGGGAATTTTATGACATTTACAGTGATTATAATCCATCAAGACTTACTCTAACCCTAATGAAACACAGTATTTAAATTTTGATCTAACGCAAATTTTAATTTGACGTAAGTACAACATATTTAAAGAGAACAAAAAGCCTTGGCATTGATTCATCGTATTAATTATTTATAATATTTACGACATCTGCTAAAAATAGCTCGAATTCAGTCCATACAGAATTACTATATTGATATTAAATAGTTATATATGCGTTTAATAAATTTGTGCACAAACATTAATGCATGTCACATTTACTAGATTAGACTATCGCTTTGATCGTCGAAAATTTGTCTGAACTTTTCGATGACATGATAATCATGGTCAATGCAATTGTATGGAAACATTATATATTGCTCGATCAGAAATTTTATTATAAACCAAAGAAAAAACATATGGAAATAGATTCACAATATAAACAAACTAACAAAAAACGACTCATGTTTACATTACCCTCCTAATTAGTAAATCTAATGCTGATTGGTTTACAATCTGGGTGAATCATGACTTTTTTCATATTAGTACTGTAGAAACCTTTCATTATTAGGGTTTAGATCTGATAATTTTGGTTGTACGTAACAGTGTTACTTTGTTTATGTAACCTTATTTTATTGTATTTTCAGTCCTGAAACTATATATATATTTCTCTCTTTTTATTATGCATATGCTGTGCTTTAAGTTGGCGTCTGAAGTTCATAGGGAGAAGTTTGTCTAATTGGATAATAAATTCAATTTAATTTTACATTATTTATACAGTTTAGAGTACTTTTTAGAAAAACGAAACCTAATCATAATGGAATAAAAAAAACTGTACGGTATAGAAGGTTTCATTGGAGCTGTAGGACTCCATAGTCAAAAATAAAACCTAATTCTTGTCCGTTTAAAAAAGTTAGTATAAAAAAATAAAAATCTAATTCTCGTCCGTTTAAAAAAGTTAGTATCTCACTTATTTCTAAGATAATTTTTTTAAACGGACGAGAATTAGCTCTTATTTTTGGCTATGGAGTCCTACAGCTCAAATGAAACATTATATATATATTTTTTTTTTACTTTATTATGGGTTTCGTTTTTTTAAAAAGTACTCTAAACTGTATAAATAATGTAAAATTAAATTGAATTTATTAGCTAATCAGACGAACTTCTGTCTATGAGTCTGAAGTTGCAGAATTTCCTTATGCCAAGAAAATCCCGGAGTTGTAGATCACTTCCGATCTGGCGATTATTTTCATCGCTTTTCGGTGCATTTCTCATCGCCTTCTTTTGCGTTCTTTTGGTTCCTCTTGCTTTTTCGTTGCTTTTTGGTGTTTTTTTTTTACGACTTTTCGGTACTTATTTTGCGCTTTTTCGATGCTTCCCCGTCTGCATCTTTCGTCGCTTTTTCAGCTGCTTTTTCGTTGATCTCACCGTTGAGGTTAACGTTGAGACCAACGTTGATTTCAACATTGACTTTAATGTTGAGGTCAATGTTGAATTTAATGTTGATTTCAACGTTGAATTTAACGTTGAGGTCAATGTTGAATTTAACGTTGAGGTCAATGTTGAATTTAATGTTGAGATCAACGTTGAGGTTAACGTTGAGGTTAGTATTGAGATCAACGTTGAGTTCAATGTTAACTTTAACGTTGACTTTAACATTAACTTTAACGTTGAGGTCAATGTTAACTTTAATGTTGACTTTAACGTTGAGGTCAATGTTGATTAACGTTGATATTAACGTTAACTTTAAAGTTGACTTAACGTTGAGGTCAATGTTGATATTAACGTTGAGGTCAATGTTGATATTAACGTTGATATTAACGTTAACTTTAAAGTTGACTTAACGTTGAGGTCAACGTTGATATTAACGTTAATATCAACGTTTAAACCAACTTAAAGTTAACATTATTAAATGATTAGTAAATTGTAAATTTTTTTTTTTTAAACAAAATAAGTAAATTTATATGTTTAAATAAAAGTTTTAATAGCAATAATAAAGTTTATATATATATTTTAAATAAAAAATAAAATTTAAATTTTCATAAATTGAAACGATTAAATTGCGATAAGAAATTTCAAAATTTTGAGTGAAGATATTTCAGGAACTACCCAACCAAATTTATAATTTTTTTTTTTTATTTTATTTTAATATAACGAATATACAGAATTAAAATAAAAAAAATATATTTTTATAAGATTTGGTTATGCCGCCGTCGAGATATCTTCTTTAAAACTTTGAAAAATTTAAAATTTCAACAGGCGAGTGTCGACCTCCGGAGCCAACCTACAGGATCGGAAGTGATCTGCAGTCGGGACGTAAGGCAGTGACGATGATTTTTTGTGATCGCAGAAAATTGTATAATTTCTCTTAAAACACAACCAACCACATAAATCACCCTTAGCCACCGCAGAATATCACAGAATTTTAAATATCGCGACAGAATTCTAGAATATCGCAGCAGAATTCTAAAATATCGCAGTATTGATCACAAATCCAGGTCGACACCGGAAATCCCGAAAAGGTAGACAATAAATCAACGTAAGTTTCATTGGGGTGTGCGATATACAATGTAAATCAAAACTATGTGTGACCATTTATATATTTTAAGTAGTCTAGATTTTTTAGTAATCATTATTTATATATAAAAACTGGGTCTCACTTTTTTAGATGTACAGGTCGTACCTTTCTTTTAGTAGTTTGTTGTTACTATATCTATAAAGTTACGAAGTTTATTTTTACATTATCTATGAGAACCCTATTTTTTTCAGGTCCTTATTATGTATATTTTGAAATTTGCAATCGAAGAACATATGAATTGACTTTGTTTCACCAAAAATCTTAATATTAAATTTTTATTTAGTACCATACGTATAGTTTTGATTTATATAATACTAGTATATGACCCGTGCCTTTGGCACGGAAAAAAATAAATGGTTAAATATTTATAATTTATATATTTTTGCTATTTATAAGACTGTACAAAGTTAATCTTTTGTTACTTATTTTATAAAATCTAAAGTTTAATTGTAGGCTTTTTTCCAGTTGATTTTATAAAACGTATAATTTTGAGAAATTAAAGTCTTCATTGGGTGATATTAAATAAATTGGCACCAAAACCAATTTAAAACTGTAAAGCAAGTTAGCTGAAACTTGTAAAACAGAATATCAACTTTGCATAATCTAATATTTATTTATGATATGCAAGTGTTAGTGGAAGCCCTAAATACATTATAAATTTTAGAAATTTCAATTAACTATAGTATTTACCGTAAAAGTGCATATACAAGATCCCCCATATAACCGACCCACCCTCATTTTTACTAATTATTTTCTTTTTTTTACTAATTAATTTTTTGGTGTGGTGGAATGTAAGAGACCCGGGTCTTGTATATGCACTTTTACGGTACATGCATATCATTTTGATCATCTACTAATTATGCAGTGTTAGCCGAATTATGATAATTTTAGAATAATTTAAATTTGAGTTTTGCTAACTTCCACCCTATGTGAAATCGCCTGGCACGTGATCGGCCTTTTAACCTATAATATTACGATTACATAAATATTTAATTTAATATATTTTGTAACTAGTAGTACAAATTAGTATAATATAAGAAATTGCCTAGCTAATACATATAAAATAATCGAATTTTAGTCAAATATGCATTTATACAAATATTAACTTCATGCATAGTTTTTGAAAACTTGATCAGATTTATTACATTTATAATTTACAAAATTAAATTATAATCAGTGCCAATACTACATATTGCTTTAGCTTTTAATAATCTGAACCAAGAAAAAAACTCGAAATAAATAATTACGTAATAGCTCAATTTATAATAATAAGAATAGCAAACTTTATTAGATAAGCAATACTATGCATCATATCGTATTTTACATATTAGGACATTGTGGAGCATAATGCCCAGGTTGCTTACACTTATGACAATGCCTCTCATGCTTTTGCTTATTTTTAATTACTGATCTACTATTTCCAGATTCTTGAACAGAATTTGTAATATCTTTCTTAGTTTTTGCCTTTTTGTTTAGCACTGTTTCACCTGATTTATACTTTTTAGGTTGTTGTCTTTTATAATTTACTCATATTGGATCACCAACAATATCATTAGTATTTTCTTGATTATTAAAAAGGTTTTCTTTTGTTTTTTTCAATAAAATTTTCAAGCTGATTAATAAGTTTATCAATCTTATCAGCCTGAATAGCATAATCATTGTTTTTTATTGTATATCCCATATTAAACCCAAACTTTTGTTTAGATTCTTGCAATTGCACAATATTGGGCATTTGTCTAATTTTTGTAAGGTTGTTAAGTAATGGTTGATCCAAAGCCTGATCTGTTTGATTTGTATTAACTTAATAAGTTGGTACTAATAAATGTTCTTGTTAGTTAATTTGAAATTTCTTACTTTTATACCAACATTGTAGAATGAGCATAATATAATATTTAGTATTATTTAAATAAGACATTATTTAGAAAAAATGTCTGTATACAATTTTATGATTAATGAGCCAAAGAAATGTATACAAATGTGATCCATTATCAAGTATAATAATATATTAGGAAGCTGATTGTTGGTGATAATGTCTATATACCTTTCACATGTTGTGTAATTTTATATTTTCAAATAACAAAAAAAAAGTGATTGTGGCTGATCATAGTCATTCTCTCTAGTATTACCATTTGAATAAAAATTATCTACTTGCTAAAAATAATTAGTTTTATTAATACCCAATACTAGGGAACCTGGCACACACAAATTTATTTGGCATGGTATTTCTAAAATTTGTGCCAGGGTGCCACCCTGGCATGCTACTATTTTTGTGTACCATGAATTTTATACTTTGTGTATATGTATACCAATATAAAAATCATATTTGAATTAAAATTCTTATCAGTTTGTTTTTAAAATTATATATTTAAAACTAAGAATGTTAAATGTTTAGTATTATTTTACTTGATTTTGAAGTTAAGTTTCAAACTTAGACTCAAGTTAAATATCATATTTTAGATATGAATTATTAGTTTGATACAGTTTATATATATATATATATTTTTTTTTTTGGTATTAAGGTAAGGCCTTGCTCATATCTTTATTAATAATTTTATTGGGTAATAGTAACCACAGGTTGAATAATCAACTAGTGTATTGT